CCCCAAAACCCCAAAACCCCAGATACTTAAATAAAACACTAGTAGGAGTAATAGAATTATAAATATAATATAAATTAAGAGCTAGAATTAATGAGGAAAGTTCTCCATAACGCTAAGAATTTCAATAACTCATAAGTTAATCAATTTAGGCCAAAATTTCAAAATATTCCTTATGCAAAATTTCTTCCTATAAAATTTTCATCTTCACAAAGACTGCTAATGAAAGAGCAGTAAAAGATATTTGGAAATGATTTTGAAAAAATGCCTAAGAAGAATTAAATATGCTAGTATGTCAATGAGTTGGTTTAAAAGGATAAAGATCCTGATATACTTAATGAACGCTATCCCTTAATGTATGAAAATATTAGATCTATGGACAAAAGCATTGAAGATATTAAATATATAACAGGTAGTCTTATACATAACAAGCATTTTTTACATTATCACAAAATTGTGCAGCAATTAGTAGCTGGAATCTCACCGTTTGACACAGATTTTGATCTATAAGAGGGGTTTGAATTTGTCAAATTCGTTTGAAAGAGTAATGTTTCATTCGCCTACTATGATTATGATAAGATCACAATTGGTGGTATAATAAATTTTTGCCAAAAGTTAACATTTCTTCCTAATGATTTGCTAGTTGATTCTTGCATTCTAATCTAAGAATCTATAGATTTTTAAAAAACTTCTATATAAAAAGATAAAAACTTTCTTGCATTAAATAATAAGCTCTAAAGAGATCTTTCAAAGTTAATTCTCAAAGATGAATGGGCATTTAAAGATGAATAATTAATAGGATTATTAGAAGGTTATGGCAGCATAGAGGGTGGTTGTGTGAAGAAGTCAAAAATAATTATGGAAAGATTGGATAGTAATTACAAAATTGATGAAGTTGACAAAGCTATTTAACTTGGATCAGCTTTGACTAATTTAATATAAAACCATAAAACTCATAATAAAATACTTTATTATTCATTGCTGTCAAAGTGCTTAGATTACATTCACTAAAATAAAGGTGAAATCCATTATCCTGACTAGATTGTAAATCTTGTTAATATGGTTGTTTAGCCTGAGTATAAAGAAATAACTAAAATTGAAAATTAGATTGATCCTATACCTGTATTTAGAGAAATTCTTATGCTTTAATTTAGAGATGACATACATCTTGTAAAGCAAAGTGAAATTATCTAAATGATAATAAATATTTTGAAATATAGAAGAAATAACAAAACTGATTCAGAATTCTTAAGAGATAAGTTAGTTCATTATACTTTTGATCTCAATAAAAATTGTAGTATCTTCAAAAATTTACACATGATTCCTGTTTCAATCAGACAAATGTTCACTCTTTATTATGAGATATCAAAATTCGGTTCTGAAAAATATCATCAAAGGATAGATGCCAATAATTTATCATATATGCAATCGATTTTCCTGATAATGATGCAAGATATCGGATAAGCAATGAAGGATAAGGAGAATGATAAATTAATATCAAAGCGTAAGACATTTGAAAAATATGACTTTGTTTTGATCTAAGACAAGCAAGATAAGCATTTTGTGAAAGGACTCTGTAATGGTATTAAGAAATTCCCAGTACCGATTTATCTTTAGCTTAAAAAAGGCAAACTTAATAATTAAGTCATGCAAAAACTTTAGAAACTACTTAGATCAGATCCAGAAGTTATTCTTGATGTTGATTCAAATCAATTTTATGAGGAATGTGTGAAAATTACTTTGAATCGATTATTATATAATATGAGTGATCGATCATTTAACTACCCTTAATAAAAGATATTTTCGAGTAGAGATAGTTAATTACATTCAGAATCATAAAGTGATAGTGATAATGATTGATCTTCGGAGTGAAATTAAGGAGTTTAATGAAAAAGCATTAAGGACAGAAACATTAAGTATTTAAAGATATTTATGCAATTTCAAATAATATTAGTGAAAATTAACTATCAAATCTTAAAGATTTGACAAGAATAATGAAATCTAATATTTTTTGATTAGCATTAATAAAGATGATTAAATAACAAATTTTCTATATTATTTACTCCCATGGGGTTTTGGGGTTTTGGGGTTTTGGGG